TTCAACCAATTATACAATTCGTATAATTAGCATATTATAATAAGTTAATTTCACATCAAACTGTTCAAAATATTTGCACATAAATTTAGTGTAATTGTGTAATCAGATACAATGGTTTAAAAATTATGTTGTCAATTTGCATATGACATAATCATCTAGTAAAATAAATACTGTATAAAGTCTAAATGAAAAATGCTAATACAGTTATATTTTTATGCAATTAGACTTAAAATATTCTTAAGCCTGATGAATTGATTTACGTAGATATTGCAAATATTCAGTACAGTACACATATCAAACATAATATAATTTTATACTGATGGTTTAATTTGGTATACTAGTACAGTACAAGCAATAATTCATGTCAGTAGTGTATAAAATGTGATTTCTTAGCCATTAGAAAATGTATGTCTTATTTAATGATAATTTCGTATAATATCTAATCTTTTGTAATGTTTTTCGAGTGCAATTTTAGTTGTAATAAATTTTAAAATAAATAATTTTTGAGCATTATTTCTTAGCCATTAGAAAATGTATGTCTTATTTAATGATAATTTCGTATAATATCTAATCTTTTGTAATGTTTTTCGAGTGCAATTTTAGTTGTAATAAATTTTAAAATAAATAATTTTTGAGCATTTATTACACCAAAAACCAGATGTACTCGACATCATTGGGTCAAACAATATCTTATGATTTATATAATGATCCCAAACACGGTATCCATGTATAGGATTTCAGTTGAAAATCTTTATTTATTGATAAAATGTAAGGAATTTTATATATCAAAAGATTATATAAAACTTAATTTAGCAAACAACAAAATCAATTAAAAATGTTTGTTTTTTATATAATGTTTGCTAAAATCTCATCCATTAATTAATATAAAATTTTTATTTGTAATCTTAAAACATATTTAGCTTATCAATAATTATTTTGTTAGATGTATCGAGTTTTGGTAAAAATTAAGTTTTTTTTACTAAATTACTTAAAATGTTGTTTTGGAGCAAACGATGCATTCATTTATTATTGTCTACCAAAAAAAGTAATGCATTTTTATCAAGAATTTTAATGATTTCAATAAATTGAGATAAATTTTCAAGTTTTTAAACACATTTAATTCCATTAATTTTTATTTTTAATAATATTTTTAATATTTATAAATGCATTATAAGTGAGAAAAAAGTGAATCATTAATATTGAGAACAATTTCATAAAAATAACCCCATTTTTAGCCATCAAAATATGTAATGACTTTTTATATAACTTATACAATAATAATCCTACAGCCCTTGACATTCATAATACATATCTAGGTATACCCTAAAATCCTTATGACATACTGTATTATAAAAATGTTGTATTAGATTTCATGAGATTTATTAATTACTACGAGAGGGAGGGAAGGGCTTATAGTTATGTTATAATTTTGTTTGGATTTTTGTTTTTTGTTTCCCAAACGACAAGCAAAAGGAGTATTTGCTGTTAATAACGATGAAAATTCCAATCATTTATAAATAATTTACTACATAATGGGTTTGGTATGAAAACCCTATTATTTAATATATCACATTATAAGTTCACATTACTATTGAATTTCACAAATTGTTAATAAGAGACTTATTTTTGTCGTTATTTTTAACTCTACTTCTAATGATGTGATCAATGCTTACAATAAATTATAGGATTCATGAATTTTTGGTTACTTTCCGTAAAATATATGTGAAATATAATAAATCAAATTTTTGTTAATTATTTTTATTTGTTATTCTAGTTACGAGTTTATAATTAATGTGACTTTAAAACGGTATTCGTAATGAAAATCTAGTAAACGTTAATCTTGTTTTTATTTAAATTTTCAAACTCCAATACTTTATACGGTATTAGATTATGGGCTAATATAGGATTAAGTGAATTAAGTTTTTTAAAAGCTTTGATTTATTGTTATTTCGGACTATTTCTCAAATATTATTAATTAATATTATATCTAATAATATATGTATTAGGAGTTCTCGTTATTTGATTAGTAAAATATCGTAATTATGGCAAAAATATAATTAAACAAAAACAGTAAATTAAGGCAGATTTTCGTATCACAAAAATAATAATTAATAAACAATATTTCAAAAAGTTTTAACAGATTTTGTTTGCTAAATGTTATATCAAGTTTATATGGCATAAAAGTATCATAATTAATGAGTTTTTGTTATGTGCCATAAATAAGTTCATTAATTAAGAGTTATATGAAAAATAAAATATAATCAATAAAAATAAGTTAATTCACATGTAATAAAATCAGTTCACAATCCGATTACTAAAATATTATACCTTAACATGTAAGAATTGAATTAAAAATTTTAATTACATATTCATATTATAAAGTTTATAAAGATTGTTATTATTTATAACGTAAAACAATGACAAAACTTTATAAATATTAAATAATCATTTTAATTAAGAGAAATTTAAGAAATTAAATTTATTTTCGGTATAAAAATTTTATTTATTATACTAAAATGTGTCACAGCAAAAATATAAATTTTATTTAAAACAAACTTATTTTTGTGAAAGTTTTTGCCGTAAAAAACTATACATTTCTAAAATAGACACTTATATAGTCGTAGATAATTTATACGACAATTTTTATTATACTATATAACAGAGTTTAATACAACATTAATGTCATTAGTTATCGTGATTCCGTAATGAAAATAAAAAACTTTTTCTTATCACATAATTATGAAATTTAAATTCAAATATGGGTTAACATTAAACACATACTATTTGTGCCGTACTTTTATGGTTGGGTTATACGAAGCGTCTGAAATGGCTATAGAAAGAGATTACTCGAGAAAATTATAGTTTACATCAAATTATTATGCAATTAATTGACTTCTAATTATAGTCCTAACGAATTGTTGATCTGTTTTTATATCTCTGTTTATATGGAGAAAACTATAATACAATTAATTTTATTTTTTTCGCTCCTTTTCTCTTATTATTACTATACATATAATAAATTATTAAATAAATAAGTTTCATTCATATTAGGGTCATTTGATTGCATATTATGGTTAACACAATTACGGGCACAAATGATACTATTTATATGATATGTGTGCCGGGTATAATACGCGTGAATACAAAATTAAGGCTAAATATCGGATAATATAACAATTGGACTGAAGTTATTGGAGTAATAGTTGGTATCCGATAAGATATATTGACAGCACTTTTCTGATGTCTATTAAGTAAATGACTTATGAAAATGTCTTCAACCCAGTCCTCAAAAAACCAGTCTCTCTCTCTCTCTCGCTCTCTCTCTCTCTCTCTCTCTATCTCTCTCTCTCTCTCTCGTATTACTAATGGAATTAATTTTTGATTGTCATTAATATATTAGGCAATTGTTACTTAAAACGCTTACTAAATATAACTAAAACTAATGAATGTTTTAATGAAAATTAGAGAAACAGAGAATTTTATTTAATATAATGTTTCACCAAGTAATATGGTATTATAATTAAATAGTAATTGCAAATGAAGGTTAAGAGTATTTTAAGCACCAAAATAATCAGCTCTTGATTAGTATCACATGCTATCAGTCGTGTCATACAATTACCGGTTGTATTAATTTCGGCAAAAATCTACAAAAGCTTTTGCAGCAAAAAACAATATACAAAAGCTTTCAACATATGTCTCAATAGAGACATAACAGTATAGGAATCGATACAAACTTCCAGTGAATTGTATGCTTATGTCAAACACAATATCTAATATATTGTACATATAGGACAGAATTTATGTAATACGACAAATATGCTGCATAACAAATGACCATGTACTAAATATATCCGAAACATTTTTGCAAATCAATGCAAAACATAACTAATTGTAATATTCAAATATATAAAAATTACCAAAAGGGCATTTATCACCTAAATCTATAAGAAAAAGTAAAAAACAATTAACAATCGATATATTTATCCAAATAAACATGGAGTTCCCCTCGTGGGCACAATTATCACACATACAAACTGAACGCCAAAATTGAGGTTATATTCTCCGGGTATGAAATACAGACATTACATAATCATATAATCCGGGCACTAATATCTAGTTATCGAAAAAGTTTTCGACACGAAATTTCACAAAACTTTTTCTCTCACTAATCGATAGCCAAGCTCTCCGTTAGTTTGAATGCCATCTGAGGCTCGCAATGAAAACTGAAAAATAATTTCTCGACAACTTTTTGTGTGAAATAATGTTTGCATTGAATGAATGCATTGGTTCTCCAGAAAAGCATTAGTTATTCAGTGGTTCAGTAAATCAGTGTATGATTTGTACAGCGATTGCAATCAATCGGGTGTTTCAACGGGTGTTTCGCACGCAAAACACTCACTAATTGTGGTGATTGGCCACCGGTTTAAGGCCCGTAGCGAGCGGTACGTGTGTTGTGGTCGCTGTACACGAGTGGACACAACTTTGCACTCAAGACAATGACTTCGAGGAATGGCTACAAACGCACCGTTTGCTACTACTATGACTGTGAGTATATGGCCACAGATTAGCCACTCATATATCACTGACTACTGGATCTGTTTGGTGTGACCCAATTGTAGCCGAAATCGGGGGTTTCTATTACGGCAAAAAGCATCCCATGAAACCCCACCGGATCCGTATGACCCACGACTTGGTCCTCAACTACGGCCTCTACAGGAAAATGGAAGTCTATGTGAGTCGACCTCCCGTTCCCCGACACTCATCAATTGAGATGATGGCCTTTATAATGGCTTTTCATTGATCCCTGTTTTGGGCACTCAATGCCACACACAATAGTAACCCATTTTTGTGGTCATAATTATGGCAGTGGTCAAGGTCATGGGGGTTGGGGTATAGCCAGACCCCACCTAAACACTATTGATTGCCTGTATATTGCATTGCATTCATTTGATTATGTTTTGGGTTTATTGTTTAATTTGTTTTAAATTCATTCATTTCTAGTACAGTATAACTGCATAAACGTTACGTTTAATTATAAAACTTTTAATTATCGTTCAATTAATTATAATCATACATAAGATGATAGTTTATATCGATTAGTCTACCATTAATACAATACTGGTATGATTGGCAGTTAAGCTTAATTGTATATTGATTAGTGCACTATATGTAGGGTTGACTGTATGTCAAATCAAAACAGTAGTTTAATAACGAGTTTAACTTATGCTTAAAACCAATGATACCCTCAGAGACCACACAAAGCCACCGAAGACGAGATGAATCGCTTCCATTCGCCAGAATATGTCCGCACTCTTCGCCGCTTAGAACCGGATAACGTCCACAACTTTGGACCAGAAATCAATTCATGTATTAAATCACTAATTATTAGTTATATTTCAAATTGATTTGACACTTATGGTCCCGATTATAGTCTTAGCCGGAGAGGACTGTCCCATATTCAACGGTATGTACGAGTTCTGTCAGATATCGGCCGGCGGTTCCATATCCGGTGCCATCAAACTGAACTAATTGATTTGACACTTATGGTCCCGATTATAGTCTTAGCCGGAGAGGACTGTCCCATATTCAACGGTATGTACGAGTTCTGTCAGATATCGGCCGGCGGTTCCATATCCGGTGCCATCAAACTGAACAAAAGAGCCACTGATATAGCCATCAATTGGGCCGGAGGTCTACATCACGCCAAGAAGTCCGAGGCCTCTGGCTTTTGTTACGTCAATGACATTGTTTTGGCTATTCTTGAGTTACTTAAGTACCAGCAAAGAGTTCTCTACATCGACATCGACGTCCATCACGGCGATGGTGTCGAGGAGGGTATGTCTATCCGGACCCGTAGTTCCCTTTTGTCGGCTATTAAACGGTTTTGTTGTGGTCTTTGAATAGCGTTTTACGTGACGGACCGCGTGATGACCGTCTCATTCCATAAGTTCGGCAAAAACTTCTTCCCCGAAACGGGAGATCTTAAGGATATCGGCGCCGAAAGAGGCAAATACTACTCAATCAACGTTCCGCTCAATGATGGCATCGACGACGAGTCCTATGTTAACGTTTTCCAACCGGTCGTCTCGAAGGTATGTCTTGAAAGCTCGCAATGCAAGTGATTTGTCCAATTGATGTCTGGTTTGTGTGGCACCGGCAGGTGATCGAGACGTACCGGCCGAACGTGATTGTCCTGCAGTGCGGCGCCGACTCGTTGACCGGCGACCGATTGGGTGTATTTAATCTGACGCTTAAAGGGCACGGAAAGTGTGTGGAGTTTGTCAAAGGGTTCGACATTCCGCTACTGATTCTGGGCGGCGGCGGCTATACCAAGAAGAATGTGTCCCGTTGTTGGACACACGAGACCGCCATTTGTCTGAACGTCGATCTGCCCAATGGTTAGCCAAACAGTAGTACTCGAGAGGGGAATGTAGTCTAACTTTAAACTTGTTTTTTTGTGGCCCAGACTTACCTCAAAACGAATATTTCGATTATTACGGACCGGACTTTAAGCTACATATCAGTCCCTCGAATGCATTCAATCAGAATCCACAGCAGAATTTAGACAAAATTAAGTAATAGTTTAATACAATTGTAGTGAAACTTGAGTCCATTTAACGATTGGTTTTGCAAACACTTAAGGAGTACTATATTCGAGAACCTGCGGACTATAACACACGCGCCGTCCGTCCAAATGAAAGACATTCCCGACTTTCGTCTGATTCGCGAGGAGACCAAAGACGAGGACATGGAGGACCCGGACGTGCGGATCAGTCAGCAGCGGTCCGACGCACACATACAGCCCGACAACGAGATGTCCGACAGCGAGGACGAGGGTGACGACCGGCGCGATGAGACCAACCATATGCCGACCCAACCAAAGAAGTTACGCGTCGGCGAACCGGTGGACACGGCTCAGCCACAGCCACAGCTCGTGCTCACCACCAATGGTATCAATATATTGTCAAATACGGAGTCCACTAACACCTGATCTAATGGTTTGGTTTAATCTGATGTTTAAATTTAAAGTGAATTATTATTATTTCCTATTTATTCCACACGTGTTTTAAATAAAAACCCATTTCTTGATTTAATAATCGTTTGACAATTCATACACTATTTTCGTAAATTTCTTTGTATTTTACTCGTAAACTTCAGACATAAATATATTTTTTGATAATAACTTTTTTGTTGTTTACGGTAATACACGAATACACTGTTATAATAGATATACGGAATAATTGAGATCTTTTCCTATTAAATCACATAAAGACTGTTTGTTGTGTAAAAAAGCGATAAAAAACATACAAAAACTATTGTAATTATTAAAAACAACTAAAAATGAGTTAATCACTTAAATGGTATACAAAATATACTGTATTTTTCATTTCATTAAATGATTTTTTGTATTAAATAACTATTTGGATAATTTGCGACTATTTTATTCCTCAAAGTGTGACAATTCATG